TTTTTGTTTTAGGGAAGGTGAGTCTTTGGTCGGGTTTCAGTCGCTCTTTATAAGAATCAGTTTCAGAAAAATGAAGTGTTCATCCTCTTCACAAACAATCTTTGTTAGGGGGGTGTCAAAGTGTTGGTCAAAAACAGCATTCCCAGTAATTAGACAGGTCCATTCTAACCTAAAGAAGATTCTGACAGACAAATGGTAAATGGCCTGTATTTGATATAGTGCCTTCTAGAGTCCTGGAACCCCCCAAGGCGCTTTACAACACAATCAGTCACACACCCATTCACACACTGGTGGGGATGAGCTACGATGTAGCCACAGCTGCCCTGGGGCGCACTGACAGAGGCGAGGCTGCCGAGCACTGGCGCCACCGGTCCCTCCGACCACCACCAGCAGGCAACGTGGGTTAAGTGTCTTGCCCAAGGACACATCGACAGCGACAGACTGAGTGGGGCTCGAACCTGCAACCTTCCGATTACGAGGCGAGCACTTAACTCCTGTGCCGTTGTCGCCCACAAGGTGCTGCGGTTGTTGTTTCAGGTGCATACAGGCTAAACCCTTTAGGCACATCTTCCCTACATGTTATATAAGAGATTTGAAATCAAGAAGAAAAACTTGGAAAACCATATGGATATGTTCTTAATGAGATGTTATTAGTGGAAAATAAACTAATAGATCTAAAGACGTTACTGGTACTTTTACTGTCATTCTGTTGTGGAAAGTCAGCACAAATATTCAGTGAAAACTTTAAAAAGCTGCTTAAACCTTCATTATTTTATAGTGGGCCTGTCTATATTTATAAAATCAGTTGATTTTTAAGTGACTAGCTAAAGTTACTCAGAGCCACTGTAGATGGTCCAGCCTGAGTTAAGCTGTAGTAACTGGAGAGGAACTGAGAAACAGCATTAAACTTTTTGCTGTTTGCTTGTTCAAGTTTAATTCAAATAGAATATATAAGACATCAATTATATAATAATTGTATGTATATTTAACAGTCATGTTAGAGATAAGACTCCTAAAGTACACATAAACTACTACATCCTCCCCGACTTTCATAAAGATCTGATGTGGCATTTCAAAATAAAGTGCAATCAAAGTTGTCAATAATGACAATTTTCACCATATTCATTGGTTTCTTCCTCAAAAACTGTCTGATCACGCAACATCATTCCACATCAGTATTAAAGTGCACATCAAGTACTAAATCCTCCCCAAATTTCAAAATGATCTGATGTGGCATTTCAAAATAAAGTGCAATCAAATTAGACTATGAAAACATGTTTTACCATATTCAATTGTTTCTTTCTCAAAAACTGATTGCACAACATCATTTCACATCAATCTTAATGTAACCATTGAGTACTACATCCTTTCCAAAGTTCATAAAGATGTGATGTGGCATTTCAAAATAAAGTGCAATCAAATTCAACAATGAAGACAATTTTTTTCATATTCAATGGTTTCTTTTAAAAAACTGTCTGATTCCGCGACATCATTCTACCTCAGTCTTAAAGTACACATCGAGTTCAAAGTACTCCCCGAATTTCAAAAAGATCTGATGTGGCATTTCAATATAAAGTGTAATCAAAGTTGGCTATAAAAACAATTTGGACTATTCAATGGTTAGGTTAGACCTCAAGACTGATGTGTAATGATGTTGCACAATCAGACAGCTTTTGAGAAAGAAACCATTGAATATGGTGAAAATTGTCACTATCAACAAATTTGATTGCACTTTTACTTTGAAATGCCACATCAGATCTTTATGAAAGTCAGGGAGGATGTAGTACTCGATTTGTACTTTAGGAATGGTGTTGCACAATCAGACAGTTTTTGGGAAAGAAACCATTGAATATGGTGAAATCTGTCATTACTGACAAACTTATTTCTATCTATTTCTACCTTATTTATAAACTGTTTATTTACGGGTCCAATAGTTAATGTAATAATTGTCCCAACCACAGCTGCACCCCCTCACCCCCAACCTGGTCTCATAGCAATCATGGGCAAGCTACATGTGTGTTTAGCGTGCCGCATGTGCACATTTAGCCATTTTAGCAGCTCAGGAGCCCACAGGTACGGTGTGTGTCACTCACTCTGGTCAATCCAACAGGGAGCCGGCTCTGAGAGCCGTTTCTTTAGCGACTGACACATCACTACATCATTCCCTTTCCTCATGTCCTGAAGAACGGTCCGGAGTGCAGGCAGAGTGTTTAGCTAACCTGCAGGAAATGTCAACCACAGTTATCCAGAAAGTAGCTAAGGGTTATCAGAGATGTTTCTGAGGTTTTCACTAGGTACTTTTAAGATTTTAAAAGTCAAGAAGGGGGTCTGAAAAGCTGTTAGAAATAGCGTCAAAGTCGCTAAGTTGGCAACACTGTGGGAGGAGCGCTTCATTTGCAACCCAGGGCAGCGCAAGTGGGAGGAGCAAATAATTGGCTTGTTTTGTTTATATAATCGTTCAAAACTCAGATTGTAATTGGGATTAAAATTTGATTAATTGAGCAGCCTATAATTTTACGTCTAGATATTTTTGTCCTGCAGTTTTGTGGTGAGGGTGTTTTTACACATCACCTTTTGGAGTTTTTTGGACATCTGAAAAAACAAATGTAGCTAAACAGAACCAACAATCTCGGATTTCCTCTGAAAAGAGAACAAGTTGTTGACAGCTGTTATTGTGGTTAAATAGAAACTCAAGTTTCCATATTTGTGCAGCTTACGTGTGTATTTTCTGAAGTGAGGCTTTTCCAGAACGTCACACAACTTCTGGTGGCTTTGGTGGGTTTAACTTGGCAGACAGTCTTCACTGATTCATCACCAACTTTATTTCCTCATACAGTCAGACTGGCACTCAGCTAAATGATCCCTCTTCCTATGCAGACCACAGGTAACATTTACAAAAGTTATTAGAGAAGGTGGAGAACATATCTTAATTTGTCTTTTACTTTGATTAATAGGAAACCCAGTTTTTTCCCAGCAATTATGAAAGGCTTCCTTCTGGGAGCTGCCTGCCAGGGTAGGAAGGGTGGTTGTGTTTGTTTCCAAAGATAAGCAGGCAGCAACTTTTGGATAAGTATGTGTTGGTGCTGTCAGTCAGGCCAGTTGCTCAGGAATCTCGCAGGATGTGAATGCACTGAAGGACACTGGATACATCACAGACAACACTCGATATCCACAGGAAGTCCAGATCACAGATAGAGAAGCAGGATGTTTGCAAAGCAGACCTTTTTTTCTTCCCTCTATTCCAATGAATACAATGCAAATTACTAAACCACCGTATTTACTAATACATATTATAAATTCTTTTAAAGCTGAAAGTCACTCATTTTAACCCTCAAACTACTACCAGTTTGTTTTTAATTTATTAGCCTTTATTTTATGCTACTGTTGCAGAGAAGACCCTGGGACATTTTCCCAACAATTGCACCACTCCATGTTCAAACTGTAGATAATGAAACCATGCGTGATTTTTGTCTAAATTTGGCAGAACACCCCCTACATTAAAACATGCAAAGAGCTTCCTTTTCGCCTAAGTGTCCGGCATTGTGGTGCTTCAACCATTAATTTTACAGTTAGAATTTAGCAGCAGGTTCCTCAAGAGTTAACTAAATGGTAATTGGTAAAAGACCAGCCAGGATCCTGGTGTTAAACTGAGTGTGAGAGTATAATTAAACAGGAGAGCTAAAAAAATTCTGTTTGGAAAAACCCCTGATGTTGGGCCCTCCATTAAACTTGAGAGATCATTATCATGCTGTTTTATAGCTAAATAAAGCAAAATGCAGTGGTATATTGGGCAAAAAAAGGTAATTAGGAGGATAATCAGCAGCCAGCTGCTGCTAAATACATGAGTGGAATGGATTTTCTGTTCACCAGGCAGTGTTTGTTTCTCTATAAAAGCACTTCTGATTTATAACGGCCATTTGTGTTAACACAATGACGAGAAGTCGTTTTCCATCAGTCAGAATGTTTGTAGAGCTATTTCCTCACAATTTAAAATCTTTGACATCAATATTTTTGCACGAGGGAAACATTCAAGTTAGTTGCTAAACTTTCCAAAGATGGATGTTCCAGTAAGTTCATCGTGAGGTCAAACATTCCTCAGAGAGTTAACATTTTAGACTCAAGCCCCAGTGAGCGTGTCAAAACAGTAAATGTGGCGGTTCAATCTAAAGAATACGGACTATTATGACCTCGTTAAGGATTAGTACCTGAAAGTTTAGCTGTACTGAATAATTTTAAAAAGTCTTTACCTGAACAAATAATGTGGCTCATGGAGAAATGTTTCTATGAAGACTTTCTCATGCAAAAGGACAACCATCTTAAAAACAGCAGATCTACGACAGTTTAGCTAAAAACAGGAAAAAATGGAGGTTTCCTAACAGCTAAACTGTTGTTCTGTGGTGGGACTTTAAAATCAAATCTTAATGATAAACACTGCTAAGAAGTGTGCCTTATTGCTAATAAATGCAGAACTATGTGCTTTTGATTTATGAGATTTTACTTATTTTTGGCAAGGTTATTAGGATTTTAGCTTATATTTAATTAATGACAACAACGATAATCTCAGGCTGTTTTCCTTTAGACGTGTCCTCTGTTGGGAGAACGTTGAACTCTTCTGTTACTACAATCTGCTCTATCACGAATCCCCCAGTGAGCTACCAGATTGTCTGGTTCACGGCACGCAGCAGAATCCTGTGTGTGGAAGCTTCCAGTGTTTGTGTTTACAAGGTGGTGATGGCTTACTCAGCTGTTCAGACCTCCGCACTCAGTCTGCAGTGAGCTGTTTATTCAGCAGTCAGCACCAGAGCACAACTAGCTTTGAGTCTGTCCTCACCCAAAATACTTCAGAAAAATGTTTTATACTAATAAAACTGTGAAAACCACAAGTGTGCGTATCAAATCTATCTACAAGTTTGAACAGCTGCAGTTCTTGATCACCTTCCTTCTGCTGATTAAATGTCTGGTTTATTTACCCATACTGTTGCTCCTCGCTCTGCCTGTAGGAGACCCCTGTGCTGTGAACACGTGTGACAACGGGGGAACCTGTGTGACTGGAACGGGGACTCCGTTTATTTGCATCTGTCCCGATGGCTTTTCTGGAGACATCTGCAATGAAACTGAGACGGGTAAATGACACCTCTGAGGCCAACCAGTCTTAAAGTGGTTCTGTTAAACACTTGAACTAGTGTAATATTGTTTTCTTGTCTCGACTAACAGGACCATGCATCCCAAACCCATGTGAAAATGATGGCGCCTGCGAGGCGACGAGCCAGTCTCGACGAGGAGATGTCTTCAGCGAGTATGTCTGCAAGTGCCAGCCAGGATTTGAAGGAATTCACTGCCAGAACAGTAAGCCCCAGTGTCTTTGAAATGGTGTCTTTTCTGAAGTAAATAAAGACTACTGCGTTGACCTAGATGTAGATGTCTAGTCTGGCCATGACCCTTAGACCGACATCAGTCATGGGGTGGAATCTACTCTTGTCTTTCAAACTGTCTCTGCATGCTACTGGACCGCACTAGGACCAATCAGAGCAACAAACAACGTGACATCAATATAGAAATGAGTCTACGGGACACTAATGACACCTTTTTCTAAATAAAGGACTTAAGCACCTCTATTTACTCATCTCAAAGAGAAGCTCAAATCTAAATCGTTCACAGTTCATGCCAAAGCCGTTTAAAACGAGCGCCGTTTCAGAGGCCATGCCATATTTGTAGTTTTTCTCCGTCACGGCTCTGGTGCTAAGCCCGCCCAACTCGTCTCTACAAACAGAGCGCTGTGATGACCCCAGTATTGTTTGGTCCAATGATAGACTGGCTGAGGCCACAATGGAGTGTGGCTAGACCAACCTGCAGACCAACATCTTTTTGCTAATGCTACGGTTTGTCTAGGTTTCTAGGCTAGCTTAAGTAACTTTTCAGGTTTTTGTGTCGGTGCAGTTTCAAAAATATTTGGATATGTTTTTTAATGTTTTGAATGAATGTGAATGAATTCATAAATTAGTCAGATTTGTTTTAAAGATTTCAAAGTACCCTCATTAATCGGTTTTTAATTAGTTTTGTTAGAAAGACTTCACCACCATCATTTATCAGTTTCTGATGAGTTGCTTTCATTAACAGACTCATTATAATAATTTGAGAAAGTGCAGTAAAGTCCTGGATTATTTTTGCAACCTGACACTCTAAAGTGGAGACAGCTGCAGTGAGTGCTGGCTGTTGTCCTTTTTCCTACATCCCTCAGAGCAGACTGCTTCCATCATGGTCTCTAATGTCTCCAGTCAAGTGTGCTCTAAGAAGTAACGTGGCCCATTATAAAGAAAATTTTAGCAAAGTCCAAGTGTACTTTATTTGATTATCAATGCCTTCTTTTATCTTAGGTGTCCAGAGAGCAGATTTATTTTCCCAAAAAGGTAAAGGTGCTAAAAAGAATGATGTCTGTGTCCACTTTGCCTTGTCTGTCGTGCTTCTTCAGATCTAGGGGCTCTCTGTTCTCTTGGCTGCATGCAGAGGTGGAGCGCTTCACGAACACACACACACACACACACACACACACACGAACACACACACACACACACAAAATCAGACTAGTTTCATTTCATCTCTCACAACAAAGAGCTGTTTGTTACTCAAGGCCAACGGCTAAAAATGACAGTGAGATCACATTAGCGTCTGATTTACCGCTTGATTGGTTTACCAAGTCGGATGAGATGGGTCCCGTTTAGATTTATTGCTGGCATTTGACTCAAGCCTGTGTTTATCTAAGCTCTTTAGGTTGTTATAGAGTCATCCATTTAAAACCAGAAACCCCAGAGAGAACGTATGGCGCTCATTTGGTTTTAAATGCAGCCAGTTTATCTGTTTGCACTGAAAACTACAAATCACAGCTCATTCTAATCTATACTCTCACAAGCCGTTTGGCAGCAATATTTGCTTAGCAGAGTTGGAGCCCCTGCAGAGCAGGCATTCCCACTAATTAGCTAATATCACAGGGATAGTTATGTGGGAAATTAATGCAACCATACTGATTCATGAGAAGTCTCCCAGGGACTGAGGTCAGGGGCGCCTCTGAAGTGATGATGGCTAATCTGACAGCTTAGACGATCTCTGGGAACCAAGAAGTGAAAAACGACTCTTGGCCAGTTCCCGTGGTTTAAGTAGAACAAAAAAAGACTGGCTGTGTCTTTATGCAATAAAAAGTGTGTTGGAGCAGAGAATCCAGTGAGGTGTGTGTAGTCATACACCTAGCTCACATCTAGTCCTCAAACACTCCTCAAATGTGATGTCGTATGCATGCAGATTTATAAATCCTAAACTGCATAATTCTAATGTTTGACAAAATTCTCAGCTGGGTGTGAACTGATGTGCTGTAAACTTCACAGGTAGATGGAGTTGGGCATCATTTAATCTGAATGATTTCAGTTCCTATTGATTCTCAATTCTATCTGTTTCAAGAAGCAGGGTCCAATAACAACCTGTTTAAATGAGCCGGCTATCAAGGGTGTAACTCGATGAAATAGTTTGAACTACAACATAAATTTAAATTTTATTAATGATAACATTACCTTAATTTAGACAAGAACATGTTTTCAAGAAGGAAATGAAGGCTTGCAGCACCATGTGTTTGTTTCTGCCCACAACTCCTAAGCCTCCTATTCACAACCTAAGGTTTGGAAGTGAAGAAACTTCTTGGATGAGAGGCTAAATGTTTTCAAGAGAACCAGAAAAGTCCAGTTTTTAATTAAATCTCTCGGCATGATCATGTCCAGATGACTTAATCTACACCAACGTGCTGCAGCACGAAGCAACAACCATTCAGTCAGAAGGGGAAATGAAACTTTAATGTTGCTGCTGTCGATCTAACAGATTAAAAACAGTAAAATGCTCAACAGACTAAATGGTTCAAAAAAGCAAATAATCTCACAACTTTGCGTGTTGTGAGATTATTGTATTTATTTATACAGTATATTAGCTGTATATGCGCCTAGTGGGTCCCCAGTGTCTGATCTAGCATGAGGACTTTAATTATTTTACTGGTTACATGCTCAGCCTTCTCATTTTCATGCTCATACAGACAAGTGTTGGAGAGTGGAGTGTAGCTGTGTTATCTGCGTTTGACAGTTGATGCTCCGTGTTTTTATTTCTGCTCTTCACTGCGACCAGAGTTTGTTCTTTAAAATACGTATGAAATCCACTGCATTGACACATTTTAATGAGCTTCTTCCAAGAGGTATTTTTCTTTACAGAATGCAAAGTTTACATCACTCTCATAGGTAAAAGTTCAGCAGACTGTTTATATGTTTGCCATTGAGTGCCTGCACAGTGTAAGGGAAGGGGAGGCGTGGGGTGGGGAGGTGAGGTGAGGCCGCATGCAGCATCTCTACAGGCTGCAAAGGATGAGTGACAGGTGATCAGCTGAAATGATCAGCTCTGAAAGGTGTTGATCAGAATCTGCAGATCACGTTATTTATTTATTTTTTATGGAGATCGGCTGATTAGGATTGGTGGCCAAAGCCACACTTTAGAACATCTCCAAAGTCTGCATATTTTCCTTGATTGCACGGTAACACAAAACACATCCGATGAATTCTTCTTCCGGTCGGCTGACTGGGCATCGAAACTAGGATTAAAAATGAAAAGATTTGAACAATTCAGGGAAAAGCTTTCAACCAGTTAGTTTTCACTTCTGTGTGTCTAGTAGACGTGGTGTTGGAATTTCAGCCATGTCGCTACACCTGAGCCAATGTAGGTTGTGATGTCACAATAAGGGATGTTTTCAAATCGCTTGTTTTAGGCACATAATTCCAGAGATCAAACACTGACCGAAAACTAATGGATGGTTTTTATTTATGTTTGGAGTATCTATAGTGGCGTTAGAGACCCACATAGCGGCACAAAATATGCAGAAAGTCAGATTTGCATAATATGTCCCCTTTAAAGCAAAATATAAAAGGCTTTAACTTCATTTTCTATTAATAGAAACTATTAAAAAAAGTAAAATCTCACAGTGAATGGAATAAAATGGAAAATGTATTTTTTTTCCCTTGGCGGAAATGAAGTTCAAAACCATTTTTCATCACTAAATATTCAGCTTGCATTCCTCTGAGTCAGACCAAGAAGGAAAAAAAACCTCAGATGGAAAAAGCTTAGTCTCATGTGCTGCACATCCCACATGTTCAACCACACACCACTCATGAGCTCACATGCAGACTGTTTAGCATAAAAACACACGATTCATCCCTCATGCAAGTCCAGCCAACAGAAAGCGGCGGTCCATGCTGAACACTTAAAAACGTCAACTCTGCTGCTGTTGCCGGGCGAAAAGTGAACATGGAGGCGGAACAGTGACGTCTGCTCTCCAATGTCACACTTGCTACTCAGGTCTGATTGAAACGATTCAGCTTGTCCCATAACATTGGCCTGAAGGCTTTTATGGATGACTGAGAAGAGAAATGTGCCAGAGTGTTTTAGTGTTACATGTGAAGAAGCAGTAAGAAGACAGCTGAGGACTCCGGGCCAAAGTAGATGGATTAATATGGGGAAGGAGGAAGGAGTGGTCATTTTCAAACCAGCCTAGGGCAGTTAATTTTACATGGAAGTAACTGAATAGCTTGTGTGTTTGTGAATGTAGCAATCTCATTTGTTTTGGTAAGTTCTCAGCTCCTCCCAGGATGTGGTTGTGTGGGCAGACTGGGCTTCATTACCCCTATAAGGAATACATGCTGGGTTGGCATGTGTGCTTCTGTCATCATGGAGTCAACGGATAAGGATGTGAATTCCCTGGTTTGATTTGTCTCAATAAAAATAATAAAACTCCCAAAGCTGCTGAAACTAGAAAATGCTGAACAAGTGAGCTGCAGGTGTGTCTGATTTCATACACTGTAGGTAAATAATAAAGACAAGCGTCACCGTTGGCCGCAAATGTTTTGGTCATACAGCTGGCCAAAGAGGATATTTGTCATCAGTGTGTCTGTTTTAAAAATGTAATGTCCTACAAATTAATATTCTTATATCAAAAGCTGTATTAAATTTGTAAGGAAATGCTATGGACAGAATTTTAAGCATAACTTTATTTATCTGTCTTTAAGACTTTACGTTGCCTTGCCTTCATCATTTTAGAGTGAAATGTCAGAATCTCAGCTTTAAATAATGTGCTTGATTATTAAATACTTTGTGACATGACGTTTTGTCCCAGACTCCTGTGTATCTCCACAGAAAGAGGCAAATTAGTTATTTTAGCTTGCACTGGCACTCCCTGGTGTGCTGCAGCCAGTCCAGCCTACACTACCCAGAAAATAACACGTGTGGGGTCGTATTTTAGCCTTTTCACTGGAGAATGTTAAAGCAGTTTAAAGCATCTTCTAGGTGTATGACTCATGGCAAATAAGTATATATAGTGATTAAATATCATTTACAGTTATGTTTAAAATGAAGTACTTAAGGAGTAGATGAATTTTATTGATGGTGTTTTCCTTTGTTTTGTGAGCTGAGATGTCACATTTTGAAGTACAGATCACAAAATGTCCCATCAGGATTGTTCTTATATGGTGGCAACACAAAAGCAGGGTGGAAGCATCGGCACAGATTCTGAATTCAAATAGCCTTCCTAATCAGCTGACCTTGAAAGTGCATCGATCAGGGTCTGGTTTCAGGCAAGCTGTGTAATATTTCTATTGATTTTCAGTTGATGCACAAAATGAGTAGTGTAGCGGTGGCAAATGTGTATTATTTATTTGATATTCTGAATACATATTCAATATTACCTTGCTTGATCTTTATTGTAAATATCAGAAAATTATAGGGCTTAATCAGAAGAGTCTAAGATTCTTTGCATTATTAAGCAATTATACACACTTCGTTTTGATTCATGAGTCAGGTTTATAGTAAAAAAAAGATTTTTATTACAAGAAAAACACGACAAGTGAACTAAGCTTTTACCATGAATGGATGGGTCTAAAGGTGATGTAGACTATGTGTAAATGAGGTGTTGGTCAGAACTTCCGAATCTCAGAGAGCGGCGTCTCCGGATGAAAAAGAATTTGGTTTGCAATAAACTATGAGGTTGATTGTTATCGAAGCACATTCAGACGCAATCTGTCTGTGTTCTACTCCCACCCTTTGGATGACCCTCGTCCGGATCCGGAGGTCAGAAGAGGTCGGATGACCTCACCCAGGTCCAGTAGACTGACCGTTAGCACAGACTTTCTCCAGTCTCAAGAGATGTCACCGGGCCTCACAGGATGGAATCCGCTTGCGTCTCAGAGATAACTCTTAAGGAGTGAACAATTCAGCTTTGTTCTGCAGGAAGTGTTTTTCATCAGCTTTGCAGGTGCACAAAAGGTTTCACGACGTGTAAAAAATCTTGGATGTTTATGGAGTCTTGCAACAGGTGGCCAGGCTGAGCTATTCACCA